TATATGATGGGAGGGGTAGCTGCTGTTGTATTTTCTGAACTTGCTTCCTGTCTATCATTGTCACTTAAGAGTCGGTTGTGCTCCTAGAGGAAAGGACATGGGAATTCCAAAGTGATGCTGCTTGATGTCATACTTGCAAAATCAGGTTGACTCAATCTTAGAGACTTGAGAGCTCACATTTATAGGAAGTACTCAAAAATATATTAATGGTATACTTTAGTGAAGCCATAGCTTATGTTTGCTGATATTTTCTATCTTAGGGAAACACAAAAAACCAACAGTTAAAAACAATTTCTCAAATTCATGATCAGAACATTAAATTTCTCATGGCAAAACAGTAAGAAGGCAACGTGAGCCTAGGTGATTATTTCTCAGAAAGAAAAAGAGCTCATATTCAAAACAACAGCAAATCTACATGAACAGACTAGTAAGTAAAATACCTTCTTCTTGTTGGTAAAAGTCTCATTGTATTTTTGTGATGCAAATAAAAATCTGTTGGGAGTTCCCAGAGATGAGGTTTTCCTTCTACAGGATGGAAAACTCCCAGGAAGAGATTAATGGAATCTTGTCTATCAGCATCTAAAAGGCAAAAATATGTATTTTAGAAACTCCATTACTGGCATATACAACTGGGGAGAATGTTTTCCCAGGGCACACCTGTGATTTCACAGACCATACCACTGAAAATAAGAGTAAATTTCAAAAGCCCTATGTAAACACAAAATCTAAAACAGTTACCAAACTCTCAAGTAGAACTGAAATCCAGTTTTAACTGCTTTCCATCTTGCTCCATACCTCTCATAATACAGTGACATGTATGGTGAATATGAACTTTTTCAGTTTTAGGCTCTTAAAAATCTATAAGAAATGTCGTAATAATTTACTTTTAGAATAAAAATACATTCTCAACATTTGTTAGCTTATCTGAAACAAATACATCTTCATTGGATTGCAAAGGTGAGGAAAGACTTCAGAGATAAATAAAATGGCCTTGTTCCTAGCCATATATAACATTGAACAAGCTGGTTTGCGTAATTGCCACTTTTAATCCTTGAAAGATATTCTCTATGTCTTTAGCAGAAACAATATTTACAATGGTGTCAGCTCCCCTCAGTTGTAGGCCTGGCCCATTACCTTTTATGCTTGATAACGAAGGCAGAGTGGGCCCAGACAACGGCCTCACTCTAGCTATCTCGCTGCTCCATAATAACCTTTTCAGTCTATACCAGAAGCTAATAAAGCTACGTGTATGTTGTATTTCCTGTTCCTTCTCCTAATTATGATACAAATGCTGGTCTCCCCTTTAGTACCTGTACTGACCCCTCCCTAGCAGCCTATATTTACTCCTTCCCAGTCTTGGCTCACAACCCTGCATATTCAGACTTGGGGCAGACAGTCACAGTATCAATAATAACCTCTTTCTGAAAATAAGCATCAAACTGAGAAGATAGCACAGTAGCAATGACTGCTTTTGAAACAAGATAACAGTCTCATGAAATCATTTATCTTCCAACAACTATGGTGAACATAGATATATTTAAAATTAGCAATGTAGCTCTCATTGGGCTATGTAGTCATTTCAGCAAAAGCACTGAATGAAATAAGATATATCCAGTGTGTATTCCAGACATTGGTATTTTGACAGAAAGCGTTCCATTAAAATAGCATTTTTACCTTTTGGGCTAAAAGTTATATAAAAAGGATATGCTTATATGCCAAATTATCTGGGTCTTTTTTTTTTTTCTTAGCTATTTGTTGAGAGAAAACATGAATATTAAATGATGCATCTATTACTGCCCCAATTTTTATACACAATATAAAAATAAACATACTGCTTTTATAGTAATTACATTAGACTTCTTGAACAGCTTTAATAGCACTTAACAATTTATTCTATTCATAGTGCCTCAGAATATCTTAATTCTTTCTAGAGAAGCTTTCCATTTTTCAGTCCTATTTTCAAGTAGTTTCTTTCATCTTTTAAACCTAATAGTAGCTTCCTTCAATTTTTAGCAAGTATGATAGAATGTAAGATGTAAAAAACACAAGTAAACGAAGGATATTTCTTTAAAGGATCATAGTAAATACTTCTTAAATGTACTGCTGTGTTATAATTTCAAATACATCTATGGTATTTGTGGTCACTTAGTTCGTGGACATAAGAAAACCTTAATGATCCTAAGGAGCTCTTTCTGGCTACTTTTGACCACAAATAAGGTAATCAATGACCCTCAGGAAGACAATGGTACTTTGGATACAAACAAGGGCTTAACACAGTTGGGTATTCTCTAGTTACAGCCAACAAGAGAGCAAAATGATTTCTTCTTTTTGCATTCAATCAGCTTTAAAGGAGAAAGGAATGCACAGCATTCAAATGCTATTTAAACAGTTAACTACTACCAGTTTTCTTATAAAGTATATTTAAATAGATCAGATTTGAACATAACACTTTTAATTAGCAAAGAAATTACTTTCGGAGCTAAAATATTTGCTATTGGGCTACTATGCACTTTCTGAAGTTAACACCTATCAGTTTCATAATTGGGGAAAAAATCAGCTTCATCCTTTTATTTGAGAATCTCCTGTGTCTCACACTGGGAATATAGTAGTGTGCAAGACATACTCTGGCTCATGTGTATTTCGGAGGATGCAAGTTCTGGAAGAGACAGTCTGCCTTGAGAGGGATGGGGTAATCAGGGACAGCAGTGGAGCAAGGTGTCTGGGGATTTAACATTTGAACTGTAAGGATGAGAAGGAGGTGATCACATGGAGTTTGGAGGGCTGTGCCCAAGCAGGACTGGCAAAGGCCTGCAGGGGAACAAGCCAGCCAGCTCCAGGAACACAAAGCAGTCCAGCAAGACTGGAGGGCAGTGAGCAAGGGAAAATGCAGTATCAGCAACAAATGGCCAGATCACAGAAAACTTTCTAGGTCATTGTAAAGTTTCTTATTCCGTGTGCAATGGAAGGGAATGATGTGATTTTATTTAAGCATTGAAATGATTACTCTGGCTGCTATAATAAGCAAGAGTGGAAGCAGAGAGATGACTAAGGAGTTCTTGCAATGGTTCAGTCACTGCAGAGTTGGCACTAGTGAAAACAGCAGAAAGGGCTGGGATATATTTTGGAGGCAGAGTCAACACAATTGGCTTGAGAGATGGGATAAGGAAAAGATGGGAATCCTCTACTAGATAAGTGGGCACAGGGTAGTCACATGGATTCTTTAAAGGCAGAAAAGAAGATGGAGATCTATATAGTCTCAGGGAGAAGCAGGAAGTCAGAGAACAGAGGGGGGACACAGCACTGCAACCATGGTAATATGATATAAAGTAGATGCGATGGGTGCAGATGAGGACAAGCATCACATTTGATGAAGAGGAGGAAGTTCATCCCCAGGGATTTATTTTTTCCACTGAGTAAGGGCATGAACTAGGGGCTGCTATAGGTTAAGGAAGGAGGGGAGGTAAATAATGGCCTTTGGGAAAACAGCTGAATGAACACACAGGGCAAATGCAGTAGGACTAAAGTAGTTTTGAGTGTCCTTTGGGAACCGTAGTTAATTTAAGCTGAGAATAATAGTTGCAATTTTTCCTTTTGCTCTATATAACTGCTTTGGTGGCAAGACAGGTAGATAATTGGGTTTTAATTAGTTATTGATATTATTTACAATATTATTAAAAATAAAACAGCTTCCAATTGGCTCCCTTTGGCTGTTAGAAGGATGACCCTAGAAAGCTATCTCACTGTTCTTGATAAAGTGAAACATTCCCAGACAAGCTGCTCCTCCGTAGGCCCCTCTCAGTGGTGGGCAGACAGGGAAAGGAACTGTTTCGCTCCCTCACAGCACCACCACGATGTGGGTGATGCCACCTCAGCACTTTCTGTAACCACTGCTTCTTCATGAGGGGTGAGCTTTGAAGTCATTACTCTGAGCTGTTCTTTTAAATCTGCTTCTTTTTTTTTAATCTCTGTTTGAGGAGGATAGTTTCTTTCTGTGCAAGCATACATACATTATATTTAATTTACATGAGTGAATATACATTTAGGTGGAGAGAAAGACAGACAGGTAATCAACTGTTATAGATATCCTGTGGTTTTTTTCCCCTACATTTGAGAACTTCAGCAACAAATTCAGACTTACCAAAATGTAAGTAAAATAAAAATTAGAGAGAGCTTAACAAGAGGCTTAAGTGAATTATAAAGCCTCCTTAACATCCTACTGTAGTTATTTAGTTACCCAATATATTTCCTTAATGGTGTTCTCCAAACTGATTACATAGCCATTCATGTTTGGAAGCCAAAAGATGTTTGTCAGGGGCACATTCTAGAGCACGCTAATATTAAAGCTATAGACTTTTTAAAAAGTGAGCGTAAAAGGGGGCCTGCCGGGTTTTCCAATAACATTAATCTGTCCATACAAATCAAGGATACATTTCCTAAAAATCTAATTTCAAGTATCTTCCAGAGGCATAAGTTTTACAAAGTTATTTTGAGTGCTTTAAAGAGAAGGGTTCTATAAATATATTATCATTATATAATATTCATTACAATTTAAAAATAAGTGGTACGCCTCAGTACACCATGCTTTTCTAATAGTCTGGTTTAGTCACAGTATTCATAAAACAATTCTTTCCCACTAGTTCCTCTTTCGGTTCCATATAATTTTACTGTAGCTTTCCATTAAGTGCATGCTACTTTTCCATGACCATCTCCTTTCAGTAGTATTCCTTTCCTTTCAAATCATGTACAGTTACACACTCTTTCCCCACCCCCCAAGTATTATTAAAAACACATTACTTGGTCCCTAAGTGTCCATAATAACTACCATTACATGGGCAATGATGACAGCAGGGGAGAAGAGTGAATGACCCTTTCCATCACGGAAGTTTTAAACCTTTCATGCTACACACACCCAAAAGAGATGTGCTTTGTGGCACAGGACTTACACAACTGTAATGGGCTGAAATATGTTCCCCAAAAAGACATGTTGGAGTCTTAATCCCTAGTACCTGTGAGTAGCATCTTATCTAGAAATCGAATCCTTCTAAGTATGATGAGGTTAAAATGCAGTCACCCTGCAGTCACCCTGGGGTAAGGTGGGCTGTAAATCAAATAGGAGTCAGGACACTCAGCGGGGAAGACACTGATACAGAGAGGAGAGAGAATATCATGGGACACTGGAGGTAGATACTAAAGTGCTGTAGTGGAAGCTGAGATTCAGCAGCAAACCATTAGAAGAGAAGAAGTAAGAAAGGGTCTTCACTAGAGGCTACACTGGGAACACAGTCCTGGCAACAGCAGGATTTCTGACTTTACCTCCCAGAACTGTGAGACAATAAATCTGTTAGTTAAAATCACCAGCTTGTAATATTTTGTCAGGGGAGCCCCAGGAAACTAGTACAATAACAAAACATAACAGAGAGAAAGCCATTAGAATAACTGCAAGGCCACAGTTCACTCCAAACTATGTCTTTGCCAATCTTTCTTCTCCGTATTCTAGATGCTTTTAAATCCTTGATCAAGTTCAAGGGCCCAAGACTCATGGAATCCATCACTGACATTACTTCATAAATTCGGTGCATGGAGACACTGTTCTGTGATACTACTGTGTTGGAAACTCCATGAGCACAGAGGCAAGAAAAGTGCCATTTTAATAATCTGTTACTTTTAGTTTGCAAGGCATAAGATAAGCAAAGAGTACAATTTAGTTATTACATACTATTCATATCTAACTAACAGATGAAAAAATAAATTATATTTCATTCTTAAACAAATGTCAAGACTGTGAGCCCCATTTAAAACATAACAATAAAATATCCTCAAATGAATTAATCTATATACTGCAAACAGCAATAAAGAATGGAATATAAACTAAGGAATCAAAGTATTTTACATTATAGAAAATCTCCAATTATGAGTGGCGAAATACAAAGTGACTTATTTATTTTTTTTTACTGTGTTTATTGAGTAGTATTGGTTTATAAAACTGTATATGTTTTAGGTGAATGGGTTTACACCTCACAGCACATCCACCTCCAGAGCTCCCGTTATCTTCCACAATAGTCCACTGGGGCCCTTCCCCACTTTGTATCTACTCTCCACCCTCTCTTTCTTGTAGCCAGAATTCTAAAAGTGCCATATTTAAAACGCAAAAACTTTATCCATTTACCTACTGAGCATCTCCTAAATGCCAGACTTCTATTTAAACTTTCTAAATATTTCATTTTCATTTTAGCCGCATAGTTTAAAATCTGCATAAGAAGAATGCACATGCAGATAAGTCCTAGAAACACCTATTACTTCAGAATTACCTGAGAAAGCATTGCTGTAATATCTAGATAGGGTCTGCATGATGTCTTTTGAGTGCTGAGTCCATGGTGCTATCTTTCTGTAGGTTTTTACACGATGAACAAGTTGAGAACCACCATACTGAAGGGACAGGGTATCTCCATGATCTTCATACAGTTCCTCAAATAACCTAAGCAAAAGAAAAACGAGGATTAAAAAATTTTACCAAAAGTATTGCATTTATTTTTGTTGTTGTTGAACATTTTTATTTTCTTACATTGTTCATTTTGGTACAATATATGATTTCTCCCCTCAGGTATAGTCCCCTGAAATATCCCACCACCACATCAACTGTGATCCGTCACCATAGTACCTTGTGCTCTTCCCTCCCCTGTCTTGACCACGCTCTCTCTCTCTCTCTCTCTCTCTCTCTCTCTTTCTCCCCTGCTCACATTACATATTATTTACTTAGCCACAAACTCAAAACAGATCTTTTACTTTCATGAATTCCTCTGAATCTTACAAGTAGACACTTTCAAGGAGACTCCTCAACATCTTGAAGATAAATGCAAGTGTATTCAATTTTATTGTGATACTCTAATAAGCAACAAGTCATGAAAGACACCAAAAAGGAAGCAGGGGGCACCAAAATTATGACCCACCAGTGCCACACAAAGCTGCTTCTAACTGTGCTAAAAGACTCATGTCTTTCTGCAGCTTGCCAGATCAATTTGCCTCCCATGACAGAATTTTCTGTTCTCTGAATTGCCTCTGAAAAAATGGTAATGTTCTTTTCAGACAGATAAACAATATTCTTTTTTAGAAATAAGTACATGTTTGGAATGTATGTTTCTTCAAGTGTGTGTTAAGGTTTTTAATGCAGTTGTATCTGTGGATCTGGCTAGTCAAAAGGTAACAGAGCCTTTATGAGTGTCTCGGATGCCCAGTAATACATCATTGTATTGTCAAGAAGCAGTGTTTCATGCAATGTTATAAATCCAATGCACAGTGAAGAAACTGTAATACCTAATAAAGGATCATTTTTATGTCTTATATTTTTTTTTTAAAGATTTATTTATTTATTCATACAGAACTGGGGTACAGGCCAGAGGCTCAGGGGCGGTGAGAGGCTTCACCAGAGACAGAGTGGGGAGCAGAACAGGCAGATCTACGAAGTACACTGCTGAGGGAAGCAGCGGGCGGGCCAGGAGAGGTCTGGCTCGCCATGTGGTCTCCTCCGGGGCAGGCGGCAGGCGGGAATCGAACTCATGCGGAAGTGGCTTCAGATTCTCAGTGCTGTGCTTTAACCCGCTGCGCCACCAGGGAGGGCCTATGTCTTATATTTTTAATTCAAAATGCATGAAAGTACATTACTTTTCTTTTAGAGGCAAAGTGGATTTGCTTTTTTAAAAACTCATTTGTTTAAATACTTCATGTTTACCTAAAGAACTTAATATTTATTGATAAGTAACACAAACTAAAAACCCAAAAACCATGGCAACAACACATAAGTCTTTTAAAAATATTAGTTACAAAATTAATATGAATAATAACTTTAGCAGCATAAGTTTTGAGAGGCTAAAAGCAGAAATTAATTCATAAAAGCCCCAATTAGTAGTAAGGTTTGCTTTCCTTAATTATCAGAATTCAAAGGGCAAAACATTAGGCTTACCTAACTGCATCTGTATCAAATTGGAGATTAGGTTTGTCAATCAATCCCAAGGAATACAGCTGGTAAGCCAGAGCACATTTCCCCACCATAAACTGCGCTGTGTTAGTGCGATCCAAACAGTCTACACAGTTGGTCCGAAGAACGCCAGTCTAAAGAGAAATACCCTAACTTTCAGCCATTATTCAATCACCAAACAATTCTCATACTACTTTAGATTTCTTAATAGAAGCAGAAGAAAGGCTACAGGCAGGATATTACTCCTGAACAAATATTCAAGAACACTTTTCAAATTTAGAAAGGTTATAGTTTCTGCTCACCTAATATTACTCCCACAGCATCAATACACCTGCTTAATTATGTCTGAATTTTTTCCATTAGTTTAACAAGATAAAGCAAATGGCTAACATTATCCACATGTACAAATTAGTAATATATGCTTTTTGAAATCTCTACAAAACAAATATATTCAGTGGTTGAGGCTGCATCATTCTTAATGCATCATTAAAAGACACAACAACCGTATCTGGCTCAATTTTCAAAGTCATCCTAATTTATTACTTTCACATTCCTGTTTATGTTTCTATTCCCAAAATAAAATTTAATATATAAAATAATCTATGAGCCATTATAATTTCAACTGCATATCTTTTGTAAGAATTAAACACTAGCAACAAGGCTTGTTAAAATCATCTTCAAAAGAGTAATAATTTACATTAAGTACATTAGTTTTCTCCTAGGTTGCTTTAAAAAAAAAATTCATTGTGAACATAAGCTTTAAGCATTAACAACAGAATGTTTTCTATACCTGAAGGCGGCCAGTGGAGATGACACATCCTCCTAGTTCATTCCACCTGTTTAAAAATAGATAATTAAAAAAATAAATTAATAGCATAATCTATATTGATTTTTAAATCAATGTATCTTTTAATCAATGGCTCTTTACTAAGATTATAAAATCAAGGTAATGGAGGTGAATGCACCTGAACAATTACCTGATTCTGTTCACTTTCAATTCTTTTCAGGTAAGTGAATGTGCAGAGCCCTGGCCAAGAACATCTTAATGTTTCCCACACTGCCATTTTGTCACCCATGTACAACTAAAATCTCTCTTGCTTTAATGTAAGCCCATTTCCCATTTTATCCCTAAAGACATAAATAATAATTGTAGGGATTTTTTTGTAATAAAATCTTCCATACCTATCCTTCTCCACTCAGTTCTCTACCTCCTTCAACTTTTCTTCATGGAGATTTGCAACATTCCTTTGCAAGTTATTATCATTTTCCTTCTTATTTTCTTTAAGTACTTAGTATGTGTTTTGTTATAAAGTACTATATAATGATAACTACATTTTATTTTAATTATTTAAAAGAAGGTACATTGAAGGAAAGAGTTAACCCAGCACGCCTTGACTTATCTAAAAAGGCCTGCTTGCAAGGTTGGCCTGTAGTTGGCATCTGGAAACTTGGGTTTCCACCATGCCCAGACAGACAAGAGTGGTTTCCTGAGCCTCAACTGTTTGTACAAACAGTATTGTTTTGCTAAACACCTTGTTTCCTTTTGAGACTCTGGAGTTTTGGTACATGACAGGCAGAGACTGCTCACATGACCAACCTCCAACAAAAAGACTGCACCGAGTCTCTGGAAAGCTCCACTGGTTGGTAGCATTTCCACCACACTGTCACAAAGCGCTGACGCGGAAATGAAGCATGTTCTGTATGACTACACTGGGAGAGAACTCTGGAAGCTTAGCTTGATTTCCTCTGGACATTACCCCTGTTGCCTTTTCCTTTTGCTAATTTTGCTTTATTGTAACAATGGGTGCAATAGGTTGAGTCTTTTCAGTTCTCCTAGAGAAAGTGATTTTAGAGATCCCAGGAAAATTTAAACTGTAACAAATACAAACTCTACCAAAGAACTGCTTTCAAAGACAAATACTAGTTGCTTGTTATTGTTTTCCCTTTGGGATTTTTTTTTTTTAACATTACAGCTAATTAGGTTAGCTGGAAATAAAATGATAGAAGTATATAATATTTTATCCTTAACAATTAAATAAAACAGATCCTTGATTGGAAGATGCTAACAAAGTACTAATGAAAGACTAATTGTGAGCAAGTTTCGATTCCTACTTAATAATGAAAAACAGAATTCACTGCATAAAGTTTTATTTTATAGATATGTTTTATGTATCTCCACAAAGCAATAGATAAAGATTCCATAGTATCCCTCACCGCAAATAACCAGCAGAGTAATTCCTTACAGTGAACGACTAGTCACTGGAGTCACATGAGCAGAGTACCTCCCCAAAGCACTAAATTCATCCATTTCCAAATCATGCAAACTGCTTATATTTACAAAATTTTTATATTCATATGAGCAACATTCTTGATTTATTTTAAGTTTTTTTTTAAAGAATTATTAATTTATGCACACATAACTGGGATACAGGCCAGAGGTGCAGGGGCGGGGAGAGGATTCACCAGGGACAGAGTGGGGAGCAGAACAGGCAGATTAATGAAGTACACTGCTGAGGGGAGCAGCGGGCGGGTCAGGAGAGGTCTGCTGCGCCATGTGGGTCATCTCCGGGGTGAGGATTGAATTCATGAAGTGGCTTTAGCTTCTTAGTGCTGTGCGTTAACACAAGGCAACACCAGGGAGGGCCTATTTTAAGTTTTTAAATACTATACATACTTTTCATCTGGCCTCAAGATGCTGCAGTAGGAATCGGGGCGGTTTACAAAGAAACCTGTTTTCTTCACCACACTTTCTGCAATCACGTTCAGTCGATCAAGAACATTACATAGTTTGCTGAGGAGGAAGAATGGGATAGGTGAGAAAATCCCAAGTTTTAAAGCATATCATCTTTATAACTGAAGTAAATCACATTGAAAGTAATGATAATTCATTTTTAAAATCTCTCAAAGTATCCTCAATAACTAGTAAGCTTTTATACAAAGACATGGGAAGGACCTGTAATTTAATATTAAGTATTGACAAGGCTTAATCTTGGCACATTACATCCCTGCAAGAAGTTTCCCTTGGGAGAAGCCTTCACTCCTCAAGAGTTAAGTCAGCCAAGTCAATGCGCATTCATAAAGTGACCACAAAGAGAACACAATGCACAATGTACAATGAGGGTGGCAGGAGAAGAAAGCACTAGAAAACAAATTAATCTGAATGGCACCAGCCTACAAACAGGCTCACAATAATTTCTCTTTTCTGAGAAAGCGTAATTGTGTGTGTAAGGGTGTGCAACTGTGTACGTGTAGTTAGCATTAAATGGTTTAGAAAAGAAATGAGTTGCATGTAAAAAATACAGTAACTTAAAAAAATAAGACCTCAAAATAGACTTAATATTGCTAATTGTAAATGAGCAATGAAGGGTTAGCGAAAGTTCCTTAAACAAGATGAATTTTCAATCATTCTGAGGTAAAAGAGAAGAGGGAAAGCAAACCCAAGGGGTTGGGGTGGGGGACACACAACAGGAACACAGGCTGTGGGTGGCACTGCTGCATTTAGGGCAGAACACGAAGGTTAGATTTCCAGGCACAGAGCAGCCCTGGGAATACAGAGAAGTCTTTACATTCTGGAACCAACCAACCAATGGGGCTTAGCACTATACTAAAGCTCTCAGATTTACAATGAACAAGTCAGGAGTTGTTGCAGCTTCATCCAGAGGGAGACCAACAGAAAATGGCATCTGAGAAAGTGATTAAAAAGAGAAACAGAGTGAAAGAGAAAAAAGCAAAACTAAGGAAAAGAATAGAGAAGAGATGTTTTGAAATAAATAGATAGATTAGGAGAATTTGCAGATGTTGTAAATAACAGGCAAACAGGACTCTGGTCAATTAATTTTAGTGCTGAAATTTTATGCCAACAGCAAAACATCCATGAAGCAAATCCATGAAAAAAATTGAGAGTGGCATTTGCTTTAACACAGACATCAACCTCTATTTTACATTACAAGAAAGGGGAAATATAACTAGATATATGAATATCTATTCACCTTTTAGTATACTTGGCCATATCCCAAGGAATATAGACAATAGTGTGCTCAGGAGGCAAAAACTGGTTGAGGTATGTCACAGCAGCTACAAGTTCTTCACTCAGGATTCTCTCATGCTTTCTTTTCTCTCGTTCCTTTATCAAAAATCAAAGATTTTCAGTATTCTAATTACTTTAAATCAGAGGAATAGACTTAACATTTTTACTTCTCAGCTAATGTAAGACAAAAATATACTGAAATAAAACTTACCTACTTAGGTTAATTTAAATGCAAAGAAATACTTCAATGAATTAAAATCAACAGGTAATAAACTTGAAGACTCAAGGAGGTCATATTTCTTCCTGGCACCCTCCCACAGCCCAAAAGAAGTCCACAAGCTCACCCTATATATTCTATACCCCACTCAAGTAAGACAAAAAGAAGGGACTCCCCACTCACACCCCAGCCCCCACCCCATGCCAGCCAGCTAAGCATCGTACAGAAATCAACAGGGTCTGGATGATTAATCCTAAACTGGCATAGCAGAAAGCACTTTCACAGTCTTCATTTGGCTTTAAATACAACTCTTAGAAAATACCCTGTGAGGTAACCAAAGCAGGCACTTTTATACTCTGGTTGAATGAAATGAAGTTGAGAGGCATTCCTGGGGCTAAATCTGACCACCTGCCTCGTTGTTTGTGGCACAACCTTAGATATTACACAGCCTCTCACTTCAGCTGGGGGAGTGCTTTACTGTGCAGCTCTAAGGTTAGCATGCTAACTCTGCCATGAACTGGCCATGTGACCTTGGGTTAACTTCCCTAGGCCCCCACTTCTTCATCTATAAAAGGTGGTTACCAATATTATCTCCGTATAGCATTAATGTAAAGTTTAAATGGGATAAAGCATAATAACTTCTTACCAAAGCATCTGGCACATGGTAAATATTAACAAAAATTCACTATTTTTATTGTTATCCCTGTCAGGCCTTAACATAGAAACAGAAAAAACAATTCAGCAGTAGTGATAATGATATGGTATTACAACACTATTGCTGGCATGAAAATAAATCTATGTTGTTTTCAATCATGGTGATTACTTTTCAACTGCCATGATTTTAATTAAATAACCACTGTGGAAATTTAAAAGAAAAAAAAGGGTATCCATTTTACAGCTGAATAAATGAAATGGAAGAATTATTGATAGATAAGAATTGATTAGAAACAGAGCTAAACCAGTTTAGGATGAAAATATTCTTAGGTTATTTTTACATCTTGGAAAAATGAAATTATATACAAAGAAACTTTCTCAACAGCATGGTAAGTCAACAAGAGAGATGAAAACTATTTGAAATGTTTATATCAAATCTAACTTTTTATGAGATGTAGACAAAAGATTGTTTAATCAACCTTCAGTTATCCCAATGTAAAGGATCTATTCATGCATTGCTGTTTCACAGTGGACTAATATTAGTGGATTGTTTAGTCAGTCTTTATAGAATCATTCTCTTTTAGCAATCAAATGTAAACTTCAAATATACAAGGAACTTTACATATTATTTCAAAGGGTTCAGAGACCTACACTAACAGCTATCCAGGGTCCCCAGATGAGAACCTTTATGCAGGGTTATACTTGATCCCAGGCTAATTTCTTACTCATCGCCAGTGGCAGCATAAAAAGCATAGAGATTGCTGTGAAATGTCTATCATTAGTATCTCAAACTCCGACAAGTGGGATGGGTAGGGGTGGGAGGTGTGGAAGTAGTTCACTATAGAGGGTAAAGAGAAAAGAAATTGAGAGAAGAGTCCGATTTCGTAATTTCACGGGGAAGCAACATGATGAGTGAATATCCGTTAGTAGCACTCTATACACACACATGCTTTCTTTGACCCCTTTATCACAAGTTAATAAGGTTCTTCCAGTGAACTGAATGAACATCTTTTATCTTACAAATAAAAGAACTGACAAAAGTATATGACAGTAAAATGACAAAATAATGACCAAAAAAATTCTATTTCACAAAAAAAAAATTTAATTCCCAAACTATTTTCCAGTTAATCTCTAGTTGGTGCCAGTACTGTTATAACAATGGAATACAAGTACAATTTTAAATCCATTCACAGTCCTTTAAATATTTTAAAAAACAATGTACATTTGAGAAATCTGGAAAATAACACTGCTATCAGCTATTATTTTTATGCTGGATATTTAATAGAGAATTTGGACTAACTCTCATTTTTAACCACTATATATAAATTCTATAAAACATGGAGAACATACATGCTTTAGGTCAATGTATAAATTATAGTGAAGACCTGTATTATAGTGTTTTAGCAATAATTTATTTCTATACAAACAACATCTTAATTTCTACACATTTATTGGAAAAGTACACATGAAGGTTTTTGTTACTGGAGTTTTCCTACTTTAATTTCCCAACAGTATATATTATACTAATATTCAGCAGGAGGCTAAGATTGCAGACTATCCAGCTATTTGCCTTGTATTTTTCTGAGTTGACAGATGCAAGAAATCAAGAGCATGAAACTTTTGAATGATTGTGAATTAATGTAAATGAAAGCCTAGAAAATGATGTGTTTAATGTCAGAGTGACTTATTTTACAATGTCAGCCCCTGGTTGACTGCACTAATTATATCAGCCAAAGAACAACAAAGGAAGAAGTGATGCTGATTTTCCCACTGTATCCAGCTCCCCCTCCTCGTTCCTCCTCCCCATCTGGCACCTCTCAGGCTATATTCCTCCAAACTCTTGATTTAAAACACAAACATGTACACATATATACACCTCTTCCTTTGAACCCATGAATTTCATTATTTGGGCCTCTCCTGGGAACTGGCTTACAGTCTTTCTCCCTACCTTGAGCTTTGCCTCTACCCTGGGCAACTTTCAGAACCTCTACAGCGGTCCTCTTCTACTTCTCACCCTCAGATCTTTAATAAAGTCAGCATCACAGGTAATTCCTTTGCCTTCAATAATTCTTATCCAGAGTCTCTTGTAAGATATCTTGTTTTAAATACCTCACCGCACAAGGACCTCAATCCACTCTGTGGACCAGCTTTCCGAATTTGTCCCCTTGCGTATCCAACTCAGATTTCCTGGCCCACTTCTGTAATGCTCTTACCATACCCAAAAATTCTCTGATGCTGTCTTTTTATATCATACCTGTCTGACAAAATTAAATTAAGTGAACCCAATCATCGATTTTATTTGTGCTTATAGACACACAAGAGCCCATACAATAAAATTCAGCCAATAGAAGAATGACTGTGGGTGTCTCAAGTCAACTTACCCTCCCAACTTACACTACCCTCAAGCTGAGCAGATGACCTTTCCTCCCACCCTAAGAAGTTAAAGCCATCAGGAGAAAGTACACACCCTATGACTCTCAGTCCCATCACAGAAACAATTTCTCTATCCACATTTCCCATTTCATTCTTTCCTCCTTTTGTAAGTACATGATGCCACTTCTCACTCTTCTTCTCTCTTGTATGTTGTACTGCTTCCCACTGACACTCCCTATAGGCTTTTAAACATATCTTTAGGATCTCTTTAGAAAATGAAAAAAACATGACTTCTCCTTCATTTTTCATCAGGTACTCCTGTGCAAGGGAAGGATACTATATTCAATGCTACCACTTGCTCATATTTTTTTTAATCAAAGTAATCTTGCATTATAACATTATAGACAGTTTAGGTATTCACGGCTGAACCACACCTCAGTTCATTTTAGTCAATGTCCTCAACGCTGTTAACAACAATGAGCATTTCTTCCATTTTCATCTTATTTGACCCTTCAGCTGTATTTTCTGTTGCTGATCACTTACTTCATTGTGAAACATGCCGTATCCTAATTAGTTATGTACTAATTTGTCCTGGATACCATCTGGATTGTCAAGAAAGCTGGCTATCAAGACTAGGCTGTGGCTGTTTCATCTCCATGCTTCCTTCCTAAATTATCCTAGAAATTTAATCAGAATTTCACCCATAGCTACCTCACACAATAAGTCAAAAGACTGACATAGTGTATTGCTCTCTTCCCTTGCAAACATACCACTGATTGTCCTAGGTACCAGGGAAGAGGTTACATGGATTCTGAGGCCAAATGGGAATGGCTTAGGAGACTAGAGTACAGTGAGATGTGACAGCAGATGAATATATTAAGCATCTCCTCTGATGAGAAATAAGGAGGCAAACCCTTTGTGCTGAGAAAAAAGTTGCCCAGGATAACTGAATTTCATAACCAAACAGATGAGCAAACAATACCTTCACTAAATTCAAAATGATGATGGGCGAGCCAAATCTCTGTAGCATCTGATCGAAGTGAAGGGCAGCCACATGTGCAAATGGATCTGCCTGATCCACTGAGAAGGGGAAAAAAGATGAGTGAATACCAGAATCAAACTTAAAGCAGGATTTTTGTTAAAGAATGTAATTCAACTAATCTTCTAGTAGTTTCAATTCTCAAGTTCCTCTTGAGGAGTTTATCAGGCATTCGTCCTCATCTATTTATTGAATGTGATTGATTTTTACATTTCTGAAGCGAATATTTAAAATATTAAAAATGTATAGCGCAAACTAAAAAAAAAGTTATTGAAAAATAGATGTCTCTTCTAAATTAACTACTTTCCAGTACTGAAACTTAGCTAAAAAATCTAAGTACTTATGCGACATCTAGATGAAAGTTCATAATCAGTGAGTAAATAAGAGATAATGTTAAAAAGATTATTCCACGCACATGTAATAGGTGGCTTAGGCATCATAGTTGAAATGTCCTGAGACCAGTACAAAGGAACTGATCCTCTAACTTGTACATACGAAGAATAACTTCCTGCAGTAAAAGACATTACAGAAGCATCACAGAGTATTTGTTCTGTCTCCACTTCATTTGCAACATCACCCTGAAAATAAAAGTACATTTAAAATTATTTTATGTTCTTAGAATTTTTAATGGAAAAATTTCAAGTACACAATGGAGTTATAATTCTTATTCTTAGTATGTCTTAACAGAGGTAAATGTTGATCAAAATTCAATGTGCACATTAGAAAGCCATTAAAATGCAATAAAGGAAGACAATTATAAATTGAGAATAGATTAAGAAAAAATAAAATAAAATAGCTAATAACACAAATAGTAGAGAACAGCTTGAGTGGCATAAATAGTGATAGACAAGAAAGAAAAACAATTACATGAGATCATAGAGGAGTGAAAGAACAGTGGGATATAAAAGTCAATTCTAAAGACTAAGGAGGACTTAAAAGCACAAAAGAGTGAGCACCAAATAATGCCTAATAGATGGGGAGAAAAGCATTGAGGATGTTTTATTTATAAAAATATAAAGGATATGACGAAGAATACTTTTAGAGGCATTAATAATATTTCTGTTTGATTATCCTTTCGATCTTTAAAAATAAATAATAAAGTGGCAAACTTTCATTTTTAAAGGACCAGTTACAGCTATTTTCATTGTTCATGCTTTTAAGAAAAATGTTGCTGATTTAAGATCATCAAAAGCCAATGTCTCAACCAATCTGTCTACTCAATCACACATCTGAGAGGTGAATTTTGTTGCTGTTATTTTCTAGTGGTGAACAGAATAAGGAGTCTGCTTTGATACAAACTAAAACAGAGGGAGAGTAAAGGTCTCTCTCAATTTGGTCTTCCTATCAGAAATACATTTCCAGTAAATGTTCCCTTCTGTTCCCTGGGCCTCTGCATTATGTATGCACTATATTTTTCCATATAGTACAAAATGGCTCATCCTCCAAAACATTAGGCATTTCATAACTCCCTAAACCATTGCATAATACTCTCTAAGGTAACTGACTTTTCAGAACATCTGTATATTAGTCATATTTCTCACAAATTTCAGATTCACTAAGGAATTATTCTTTTTTATTCAAGAGACTAAGTTTATTATAAAAGGAGAGAAGAGTAAAGGACATCTGCAGAGATACAAGCAGGAAGAAGGAGCTGCTACAAAATTCTTCTGTTGATAACATCCCAAATTAAGTAATTCCACCTTCTGAAATCTACTTTGTTTCACCTGTCAGAAAAACTTTAAAGCTTACCTCACAGTTTGCACCTCTCTTTAGAAAACGAGTCCCAGCAAACCTACTGGATCTTCTAGCTATTAGGGTGACATACACTGGTCGACCGTAGATCAATAGCTCTTAGAAATCAAGTTAAAGCCTTTTAGCATGAATGACTGACAACACACCAAAAGAGGCATTACACCTTAAATGCAAAATTAGATACATCTTGTCCATTGGATTAACAAGCATCAAGAAGCACCACCCAAGAATGGGATAGCACCGGGTCTGACAGTTCTTTTGAATCATACAAGTGTTATAGCAAAAGCAGCCTTCTTGAAGGAGTAGTTCCCAGTTTTAGAGGAAATGGCAATTACACTTGGGGTTTCTGGCTAAGGAAAGACCTGGTCTTTCTCCCTGTAGCCAACCAAAGGATGTAAACAGGCACAACTAATTCTACCTTAGCCTTTACAGAGCATACATTTCTCAAAGGAGCATATGTGAATTAACAGCAATATATAATGCTGAGGGAGTAGAGTGAGTATAATACTGTAAAAGCAATTCAATGTCTCCTAACTGGAAAAATTGAATGCTGTGAATTGTTTAGCCGACGAACACCTTACTAGTTATGTTCCCTATTTAAGTTCCCGAACCTCAGTTTCATCTTCTATAGAATGGTGTAAGTACTAATAAAGTAACTAACTTTATCAGGTGGTTGGAAGGACTAAAATAGGTAATATATATAAGTGCTCAATGAACAGCAATTGTTTTTAGTATTTGTAGACTTTAGGACTCATTAAATTCTTGATGTCACTTAAACTAGTGAGCTTCAAAATTATAATCTATGATGCTATTTACTATAATCTATGACATTCTTTTAAATAAAAAGCCAAATCTTGAGCTAACTCTTAGCAATATGATTCAGTTTAAGACTTCCTTTTAGAAACAGTAGCACATGTTTTTTGAGTCCTTGGTAGTAAAATCTGTGTCCAGATAGATTTGACTTTTGGAAACAGAAAAAGTAATTCAGGAACAAATGTCATTATTCAATAAAGGATCAAGCAGATAATACCCTCACCAGTTGAACCTAATGAGAAAGTAATGAAACTGTTAATGTAATGCACTATTTAAATCTCACTCATCTTCATTTCAAAATTCCTGTGTCATCATCTAGTCTTTCTTCACCCACACTTACAATAGCCCTCTTCAAGGTTAACCTTTCCTGCTGTACCCCTTGGGCCCCTTGATTCCATTCTTCCCAAATGCTATAGTACAAAACAACATAATATTGGTAACTATCACCCACTCCTTTAAAATTTTCACCTTGGTCTCAAAATGTCTAAAACACAAGAAGAATGTCAATCAGAAAACATGCTGAAAACACACAAAAATACCCTATATGATCTCAAAAACATAAACAGTATACACTGCCATCCTAAGCTTTATAACATACAAGTACTTTTTTAGAAGGATTCAACGTAGCTAGAAATGAAAGACAAACTTACAAAATTAACCAAAGACTCCATCTACTTCAACTTAATCTATTATGCCCCCTTTCAATCCAGACCTGGACCTACACCATTATAATCTTTTTCTCACTCATTTCCCTCCTTCCAGTCTTACCTTACTTCATCCAACTTGAAAATGGCTGTCAACTCAAGCTTCTTAAATACTTCACATGTGTCACCCTCTCATAAAAGCAAAACAAATGAAAAACCTAACTCTCTGAAGTGTTCATACCAAATCCAAAGTCCTTAGTCTGACATCAAAACAATCTGGTAACTGACAACCTGGCCCCCTTACACCCTCCTCCTCCCCCAACTTTACACCTACCAGAGATGTATACATGAGCACCAGCACATCTCCAAGGACTTTTCCATTTCTACTCAAAGAGCTTCCTTGCTTGCTGCTTTGGCCTGAGTTTGTTCAGGGTCTAGCCCAAGTTCTAGTTTTCCTTTGAACCTACACCATCTTTCTACTAGATTCTCTACTCCTCCCAAATAATCATGATATGTAATACCTGTTTCCAATTCTCTTTTACATACCAGTGATCTGTATTCCTCTTTGTGTTCACTACTTGTTGTCACAAATAAAATGCCTGTTTGTACATCGTTTCCTTCAAATGGGTTTAAACATAAGCTAAATAACATGTTCTTTTTTTTTTTTAAAGGATACTTGACTGCCCACAGAACCCATGAATAATATACAATAGCCAGTCACGATGCACATTATTTTTAATTATATCCAGAAGTTCACCATTCCATACATACTTCATATAAGGCTCGCTACAGATCCCAAATACACCTGGAAAATAAAAGATGTCAGAAAGATAAATAAATTAGTTGATATTCAGCTCATTTTCAAGATTTTAAACTTCTGTTTTAAACTTCAAAATAAAAATGCCTGATGAATAGCATTGCCATTTTCAGTGGATATGATTAATTTCATCACGCAGCACACTGTGCAGATTCTGTACAATGTCAAAGAATAATGACATTTTCTGATGTGTACCAATTTTAACCCTAAGAGAAAAGAAAATAACTAGAAAATTAAGGACATGGCTAAAAAATACATAAATAAAACCAAGAAACAGCACAGAGCAGCAACCATGAGTACCACTTTAAATCACACCAAAAGTCTAGTCTAGTACTAAATTACATGACTGGTTAAAATTTTGTACATATTCCAAACAATGTCTTCCCAAGAATCTAGCATGAAATTTCTGGCTGAACCACAACTGAAATTGTAACAGGGTAGCCCCCAGGAACAGGGAGGTTCTAGGTTCCCTGCCCCACCCAGAAAGAGGGTGGAGCTGAGCAGGGAGGAAAATCTAGAGAGGAGACTCAAGAGGAAGGAAGTAGGACAGGGAGCCAGAAGGTGACGTGAGGGAGACACATGTAGCAGAGAGACATGAAGAAACTGTGCTTGCTTCTTAGTCCTGGACTGGGTGAAACATGTGGGTGAGATACTGATGGGCAGGCTGACTATAGCAACGTTTATCTTGATTTTGTTTTTGCTTTTTTTCTTCCCAGACTTGTCTGGCCATTTCTGACCCTTTACTATGAGTCCCTTCCAGAAGGTGCTTTACACTTGTGACAGGCTTTCAGGCCTTGCTTTGGGCCAATCCCTTTTGGGTAGACTTTACCCACTAGGAGATGGGTGACTTTGAGTGTTTGACTTAGAAACTATCTTCTTTGTCTTTTCTGTGTTGCACACTAATTGTATTAAAGTTCCTTTCCATTAAAGGTCTTCTATGTTTTGTCTTGATGGGACAGGTGGCAGAACCTATTTAGAGCAGGCAGATTTGGGGGTTCAGTGGTGTTCCTCTCTTCCTTGCCCTGTACCAGAATCACTTGTTATTTAACAATCTCTATAAAAATGAATTGATTACATTAATGTATCTGGAAAATCTTCATGTAAAGGCAAAGAACAATGAGGGATGGAGAAATGTGAGGAATAAAATGAGATTTCATTTCATGGGTGCTACATTAACATTCATTAGCTGTGCTGAAAATCACCTACCGCTGCCACCCTGTGTAATTAATCCTTCATCTTCAAAGATGTCAAAAGTCTCCTGGCGAGTCTGGGTCATTTCTGACTTCAACATCTCCAGGGGCATTCGTAAGACCGTGAGATTATATTGAAGTGAGTGGGACAAATCATAGCTGTAACTAAGAACATAACTGAAACTTAGTAAGAATAACAAAAGCAAAACGTATTTCCCGTACCTTGGAACCCATATGAAATTAAAACCCATTAACTAAATTATTTAGTACCTGTTACTTTCCTTAGAAACAGCACTATTCCAATAAACACTGTATACTATGAATATAACTGGAAATTAAAAAATCATTTCATGAGTTAGGTACTTAGAAATACATGTTATAATGTGAGTAACCTATAGTCATTGATCTGCAAAGTGCAGTTTTTGCTTCACAATGAATTCAGTCTAAACTCATGGTCTTATGCAAAGGGGGACTCACAATGTTTCTGAAAGTTCTATGAGTGTAACAGTACCCAATGCAATAGTGCATAGTTTACCTATGTGCAGAAATCAGTCTATTAATTAGTGTAGTGATGGCAGTATTATAACTACACAGCAAAACAGCAAAAAGCAAGTAACATGCCATTACAGTGAAACATGGAAGAGAAACAGCCATCCAAAATACTACAGCAATCCGAGCAAAAGAAACCCTTCATCATCCTGATTTCACATAATAAGTTTTTATAAACAACTTTAGCTAGCTATCTTTAACACAGAATTTCATGATATGTAGAATTATTTAGGTTTATACAAATTTGCATTTTAGTAATATTTCAGTATGGTTACAATTCTGTCTAGAGATAGACACACATTATTTTAATTATTTTTTATTCATATAATTTGAAATTGATTTGTTTCACTTATGAAATTCAGTTTTGCCATTTTTCTTGATAGAGCCACTAATTTTACCAGCATCAACTCTCACAGGGATAAAATTCTATTAAAATAATTAATTTCTTTCATTTTTACATTAATGGAGCCATAATCCACCCAACATGATATTTTCTTTATTTCATGGCTAAATGGCTAATTATACTAACAATTTTTAAATGTTTAAAATACATGTATTTTCTTAAAATCTATCTAAAAGTAGCAAAACACTAACTTTGAAAATATATCTGCATCCCCACTTTCACAGCAGCATTATTTATAACAGTCAGGTCAGGGATACAACCTAAGTGTTTACTGAAGAATGAATGGACAAAAACATACACATACCATGCAATAAGAAAATGAAGAAGAAATTGTACCATTTGAGACAATGTGGATATACCTTGAAGGCATTATGCCATAGGCAGTAACAGAGAGAAAAACAATATTGGATACTCTTCCTTGGAGGTACAAGAGGTACAATCTTTTTTTTTTTTTTTTTTTTTTTTTTTAAGAGCAGGTTTATTAGAAAAGGGACAGGAAAGGAAAGGTAGAGGTGTGATCTTAAACAGCCAAACTCATGGAAAACGAGATGGGCCTTGTACTTACCAAGTCAGGGCATTAAGGGAAGGGGGTTTGGAGAGATATAGTCAGCCAGGCAGTTTCCAGTTAAAAGACC